TTAAGTTGGCTCGTTATTTAACCTCAAGGAACGCGACACGCACGCACGCACGCACGCACAGTACCGCACGCGCACACGCACACGCACGCTTCGCTGTCCTGTCTCTTTCTTTCTCTTCTTTTTCTGTCTCTTTCACATTCTCTGTTTTCTCTGTTTTCTATGTTTTTCCTCTCTTCTTTCTCTCTTCTCTCTCTTCTCTTCTCTTCTCTTCTCTCTCTTCTCTCTCTCTCTCTCTCTCTCTCTCTCTCTCTCTCTCTCTCTCTCTCTCTCTCTCTCTCTCTCTCTCTCTCTCTCTCTCTTCTCTCTCTCTCTCTCTCTCTCCCTCTCCCTCCCTCCTCCTCCCTCCCTCCCTCCCTCCCTCCCTCCCTCCCCTCCCTCCCCTTCCCTCCCCTTCCCCTCCCTTCCCTCCCTTCCCTCCCTCCCACCCTTCCCTCCCACCTCCCTCTCCCTCCCTCCCACCCCTACCCTCCGCGTTCATGCCCCCATGCCATGCCCAGCCCAACAGGACCCCCCCCCCCCCACAAGGCAAGCACATCGCCCTTGCCTTAATGCGACCATGAAAGTCCCATTAATTGAGGGAAATTATGTGATTGTTGAGCGAATTCCAGGACGCGAAGGCATCATCAGCCGGAATCGGGGTTGTGATTTGCGTGGCGGTGGAGGTGGGGTTGGGTTGGTTGTAGTTGTGGATTTTTTATTTGTATTTATTTATTTGTATTGTGAGTTTTGTTGCATTTGTAAATTCTTTTTTTTTTTTTTTTTTGGGGGGGATGTTTTGTTGTTTGTTTTGTAGTGTAGTTTTTGTTGTGGGTTTTGTTGTAGTATTTTTTGTTGCATTTTTGTTGTTGGTTGGTGTGTTGTGAGGTGTTGCTTTTTGATGGGTTTTGTTGTGTTTTTTATTGGTGTGTGAATTTTGTTGTATTTTTTGTAGGTTTTGCTGTTATTTTTTATTTTGTTGTATTCGTGTTTCGTTGTTTTATGGATTGTCTGCTTTGTTGCATTGTTTGTTTTGGTTGTATTTTTGTTGCATTGTTCGTATGTTTTTGCTGTGTTGTGAATATTGCTGTATTTGTTTTATTCTTTGTGGATTTTGTTGTATTCTTCGTCTATTCGTTAAAATAGTGTTTCTCTCTTTCATTTCGTCTCTTCTTCGTCTCCTTTTTTTGTTCTTGGCATTTCCCAGTGTTCGTTTTTGGGGTTGTTGTTGTTGTTTTGTTATTATTGTTTTCTTCTTTTTTTTCAAAGTCTTCATCTCCTTCCTTCTCTTTTTAATTGTTTTTTCTTTGTTTTTTTTTAATGTTATTGTTATTGGTGTTATTTTTTTTCGTCCTTTCATATATTTTTTTATTCATTTTTTCCTTTCTCTCTTACTCCTCCCCTTCCTCCCGCTCGTATTTCTTCTTCTTCTTCTCTTCTACTTCCTCATGATTTTTCTCCTCCTCTTTACATCCTCTTCTCCTCCTCCTCCTCCTCCTCCTCCCTCCCCTCTCCTCCTCCTCCTCCTCCTCCTCCTCCTCCTCCTCCTCCTCCTCCTCCTCCCTCCTCCCCTCCTCCTCCTACCCTCCCCACCCCTCCTCATCTTTCATCTTCTACTTCTTCATCTTTTTCTTCCTCCTCCTCCTCCTCCTACCTCCCCCTCCTTCCCCCATATCCACCACCCCCTCCCCCCCCCTCCTCCTCACCACCACCCTCCCCCCTCCTCCTCAGGGATGCGGTCACTAGCTTCTTCACTAGAGTTAATGGGCGTGGGAGCGTCACCCCCCCCCACCCCCCTATGATAGATGCCTGGACCAGCGGATGCCAGGACCTGATAGTGGCCCAGGGATCTCGCGGGATCTCATTGGATCTCGCCGGATCTCGAGGCCACCCTCCTGCACCCTCCTGCTGCTCCTCCTCCTCCTCCTTCTCCTCCCTCCTCTCCTCCTCCTCCTCCCCTCTCTCCTCCTCCTCCTCCTTCCTCCTCTACTGCTCCCCTCTCCTCCCCTGCTACTGCTGCTCCTCCTCCTCCTCCTCCTCCTCCCTGCTCTGCTGCTCCTCCTCTCCTCCTCCTCCTCCTCTCCTCCTGCTGCTGCTGCTGCTGCTGCTCCTTTCCTCCTCCTCCTCCTCCTCCTCCTGCTGCTGCTCCTCCTCTCTGCTCCTTACTCCTCCTACTCCCGTTGTCGCTTTCCCTTCCTCCTTTCTCCTTTCTACTACTCTCCTGTCGCTTAGTCTTCCTCCTTTCTTCCTCATCCTCCTATTTATACTCCTTTTGTCGTTACCCTTTGTCTCTCCCTCCTCCCTCCTCTCCCTGTCACTTTTCCTTCCTTCCTTCCTCTCCCTCCTTCTCTCTCTATCCCTCCCGTTCGCCTTCCCAAAACCCTTAGACCCCTGCCTTCCTCCCCCTCCCTCCCCTCCTCCCTCTCGTCCACGACCATTACTCCCACCTTCCTTCCCCCCGTCTCCCCCTCTTCTCCCCTCTCCCCCGCCCCCCGAACCGGACCAAAGCTCAGCCGAGTACTGTGATACGGATGCCAGTCCAGGTGCTTCGTGGCTCGGTCGCTCGCTCGCTGATGGAGGCCTAGAGGCAACTGTCCACC